GATGGAATATTAATGATTTACTAATTAGATTTAAGTTTAACAGAAATCAATAAAATGAAATGCGATACCAATAGAATATCATATAATCTCACAAAGCATGCGAACGATGTATGCAATGCATGTCAAAATAATGCTATTGCGAATAACAATCGTTTGATTTGATTGTCTCATCGTCAATCAAATTTTATAATTGCACTTATATAATGAAGGTATTTCGATGTTGTTCGAAATGAAATTTTTCATTTCTTATTATTTTAAGAACATCGATATTTATAAACATTTTTATCTATCTGATTATTGAATCATTAATGTTAAAGTAGGGTAGCCAATGTACTTGACTACGAAGAGATAGACTAAACCTATACAATCAGATGCAGTATTCTAGAACATTGCCAGAATTAACGAAATCTGTTCCATATGAGAGAGTATTCGTAAAAAAGAGAATCAAATAAATTTTAATCAAAATATCACTTTCTATCTCCTTCTGATGTGAGTGCTTTCTATTCTCACATTAAATCTTTTTTGATTTGTAGTACTTTAAATTTGTTAACTAGATACATTTCAAATATCACTTTCAGATTTTACCTCATCAGGCTTAAATATTATCATTGATGCATTGACTGACATCATGATTCATCCTAATTCAAATTAGTTTCACAATCAGTAGTATATTCGATTCTTTTTCTTATAAGAATATTTAATATAGTACTTATGAATACTTGAAATTAATGTGTTCGCTCACGATGACAGACCAAGTTATTTATCATTGATAAAGTTCATTTTTTACTTTGAGTCAAGAACATTGTGAGATACCATAGGTGATAGACAAACTTCGAAAAGCTGCTGAAAAAGAAGGATATTTGTTTACTTGTTCTTTTTTTTTCTATTTTCATTCAGAATGAAATCATGGAGACTATTTATTTCTTGATAATCAATTTTACAGCTCGAGACATATAATTCATTTTAGTAGCATCTTCTATTGATTGGCATATTGACAAGGTCAATACATACAGAGAGAGTCAAAAGAAAATAAGTTCACATTGAGAATCGAAGAACGTTCATTGAAAGAGATTTTACTTTATATGTATAGAAAGCATGAAATGCAAATAAACAAAAAAAATGTATGTGCACACTACCTCTATTCCATACTGAAAATTACAATTAATCTTTCGACATTCTCATAAAATTTACATTTCATTTTAGACAACAAAAATATTGAATAATGACTGTCATATCTTTCACCATTCATTCTATTTAGTCCCTTTATTTCATGTAGCTCCTTTAGTTCTTCTAGTGCCTTTAAGGTGTAGGTATGGATGTAAGTAAGTGAGAGTAAAGAGAACAAGTATATGCATACTCACACACACGCACTCACCTACATGTTAAAAGGACTAAAGGAACTAAAATATTCTTAGAGCGTTAAAGTCTGTGTAAACATAAAAATAAAACGCGATAAATTTGATGTCTGGCGGAACTATGATCGAAGCCCTATGAAAACTTATGAAATTTTAAGAAATGTTCGAATTTTCCTGAAGTGTTTTGAAGTCTGCTGTTTCCTCCTCGATCTAAGTAATAAATGTAATGTTTGCTTTTTTTATGGTTCGTCAAAGGAAACGTCATATTTACATATATATATATTTTATACAAGTAATTGCTGCAAGTTTATTAATGACAATAAAAATGATAAATTTTACTTTTCTTATTGCACTTATATTTATCTCACTCGTACCATTTCGAAAAATATGTCTTCTATTTTACTTCTACAGAGCAAGAACTTACTGAGGTATATTTCATTAAAAACTATGTCCATAAAAAAAAATAAATTTTGTTATATTTATTTTAGCTTGATGGTGATGAAGAAATGAGTAGCACTTTTGATGACGAAATCGACTTTTATAGTCAAATTCGTTTACCAATACGATGATGCAAATAATATTATTTTGATCGGTTTTTTTTCTCCGGTGGTTTGCTGTTATATTTATTTTTTTTAAAGACAAAAACTTATTACAAGAAAATCATAGCAGAGAACAAAACGATGTATTGATATTATAAGAAAAGAAATGTTTTATTGGCATATTTTTCATTTTTATTGCTGTTTTGTATATTTGTTAAATCATTTTTTCAAAAATTACCATTGTGATTGTAACTGTGATCGTTCTACTTGTTCGTGGAACTTATCTTTGTGAACTGTCCAATAAAGTAATTCAGAAACAATTCCTTTATGTTCGCTGCAGAATTCTGTCCACGAACCAGTCATATCCGTTACTTCCTTACCATGATCAATAAAATACTCAATACATCTGTTCTTAAGCGTTTGATGACGGTATTTATCTGCGATTTTTATTAAACTCACGAAGTTTTTGGGATTGATGTGATTTATAAGAACTTAATACAGATAAAAGAAACATGTGATAACTTAATTTTCGTACACAAATAAAACTTACATTCAGCAGTATAATTTTTTAAACTTTTAATACCATATCGTCCAGCAGCTTCATGAAGGTCATATGCTACAAATAAAAAGATTTTAATTTTAAAATACTATTATTTAATAATGATGAAAAAACAAATAAAAGAATTTTTACCATTGGTTTCATTTAATTCACATTCAGTCGTATACATAAATATAATAACTTGTTTCATTATTTCAGGACTAGCTTTAGTAATAGATATTTCTAACTTGTCATTCTTCTCTGATAGTTGAAATTCTTTTATTGTATCAGGACTAAGCCGACTGTCATTGCCTGACATAATAGCTATTAGAAAAGTAATTCATATTTAATATTATTAAAATATTCATTAGTGTTTGATTGTCATTTACCAGAAAAAGTACTTGAACGTGCAGCGAGAATACATCGATGAACAGCCATATAAGTACCTGTTAGAAAAAGAAATTCAATTCATAGAATATCTAATGAATAATGGAGTCACATCAAATATGATTTACCATTAACGTTGAGCCAACAGTCACTAATATCTGTTCTATTAAGTAGGTGGCTGAAATCACCCGCTAAATCGCTCAGTAGTTTTACATTGTAATGGGCATTATTTGTTTGTTTGTAACCAGTATTTTTAAACCACTGACCTTGTTGATTATTAGTTGGATTTGTTGGCAGGCGATTTTTGTATACAAATTGGTCTGGGGTTTCGGTGGTGCGTCGTTCTGCAGAAAATGTTGGTACCTTTGGTCGTTGCGAATCATCATCATCATTATCGTTATGGAATGCTGTGGTTGTTGAATCCATGTTTATTATCGGAGTAACCTGTCTGTAAAAGAAAAACAAAAACGTTCGTAGCTTTTTATAGTCTAACCGTCTTTCGTTGTATGATTATGATAACTAAGTAAAATAATGGGATGCGCAGTCAAGGACTCACACAAAAAAGGTGTTTGCTAGATAATATATATTCTTCTCCTTCTCGACATTGTAAATATGCGTATAAAAAAAATTTTGGATTATAAGAGATTTGTTAGGTACCAAAATGAAAAAAAATGTTAGACAATAATTGCTTCTTTGTTACCACATTACGATAGAAATGAAATTAAAAATCAATTAATTTAAAATGTTATAAACACCTAGAGCAGATGAATATATGTAAACTTGACCACAGATAGCTCTTATCTTTGTTGAAAACAACCTTCTCGTCAAATAATTCAAGTACGAACGTATTGATCGTGAAACATAAAATTAGAGACACTTTGTTGTTTATAAAAGATCAGAGAATATGGATATATTTACCACATGCATATATTTGTATATAGTTTATACTGTTGTAGATGAGAGTGAGGTGCTTCACCCTGATATATACCCACATCTGATGCTAAGATGGAAAACGTGAGAGTGCGGTACTACGTGGTACGATGAAATACGAATGAAACCAGTAAAGTATGAGTGAAAGACTATATTTCATTCGTACTTAACTTTCGCTTTAGAGTACTGTAGTCTCATTTTTTCCTGCATGCATTCTACGCATATCATGAGTAACAGACATTATCAAATATGCTTAGGTAAAGAAAAAATAAAAGTAAAAATAAAATTTAACTGACTTATAAATTAGTTTTCATATTTATAAGATAATATAGAAAATGTTTACCTGCGAAACTATTGAATCTAACTTATTGATACATCATGAAAACAGTTTTGTTTTCATTAAATATAGGAGACAAGAATTTGTAAAGAGGACGACAAATGCGTTGAACGGAATAAAATTTACTCATATCAAACAGTTGAATTTTTCTGATCGTTAGACTGAAATGATTGAATAAGCTGTCATCTGTTGTATATTGCTTGGTTTTTCTATCTTATTTGACTGAGCAATCGAATTTTCAAAATGTATATTATTTAGAAATCCTTGTAGAGACCGAGCTTATAAAAAAACTCGTATTTTTGAATTTTGGTTTGAAACTTTACGCATATAGATAACTCAACCAGAGTAATTTCTATAAAAACCTCAGAATTTTTGAACATAATCTCTTCAAGAAAATGAAGTTTTCAAGGTATGTTGACCATGTGCCATACATAGCGTATACAATAGAAATGCAGCCGGTGACGTTAAACGGCAGGCTCAATCCGATTCAGTAGAGTATTGTTGACAGGCTAGTAGATAACTTTTCTGTACCAACCGGTATAGGCTTCTCTTTGAGTTTCGAAAGTTTTCAAAACTAATTATAGCAGTGATTTTTTTGCATATCAAACCAGTTTTACTTATGTCAATGATAATTGCTATGGAGAGAACATGCAATAGAATATTTCTATTTAGCAAATATTCATCTAAATACATATACTATATTTCATCAACGCACTTCGATTGCATGTTATATTAACGAAATAAAATACAATCACTATTTACCATTGTAATATAGTATGTAGTTATCTTCATTTCGTATTATTTATAGCATATTTTTTTGCTGAGACAAAAGAGATGACAAAATGAATCTATTGTGAGACACAGTACATTTATAGTTGATTCAGAATTTTTTTCTATGACGAACATTTCATTATTGCACAAAGCTAATATAGAATTTGTAGTACTATGAAAATTTATGCTCATCGAGCGATACCAAAATAGAGAAAACTTATAGAAATAGATAGTGAATGGAAATCTTTGAGTGAAATTCCTTGGCAATTAAAATATTAAAAAACAATGAAGCTACTTTAGCTATTGCGAGAAACTCAATGGAAAAAGTGAAAACTCCGTACTTTAGCATATCCCGATGTTGTATTAAAGCTATCCTCTAGAGCGACCGAGCTAGTTCAAGTCTGCTCTCAATGTATGTTACGAGCAGATTATTTTGAGTTCATTTTATATAGTTCTGTCTGACACTCAAGTTCACATACTTCATCGTACTTGAAGATTGAACTGTCAATGAAATACGATTAAGCATTTGGGCTTTATGGTCAAACAGATTCATATAAAATGAGTTCAAACTAATATGTTCAACACACATGTTGCCACTAGATTTGACATGGCTAAGAAGTTACAAAGAATAGCTGTAGCGTACCTTTGTAGTACACTAAAATACAGAGTTTTCGCTTTTTCCCCTACGCGAAACTTCATCATCTATATGACAGACCATGACAGAATCAAAAAAATAGGATGTAGAAAAAGTCACTAGACCGTTACAGACATATTGAAATTTCTGTCACCATTGATCAGTTATTGACTAATCGAGAGATTGCTCTGATTCTTGCGGGATGAGAAAAGTGGACAATGATTCACGTCAATCTACCGGCCAGTCCGGTCTTACCGATTTAGATCGGTCCCAATAAGTAAAAAACTCTGCCAATTGCGACATTTTTATATAACATACATTCTTTGAAAGTTTAATATCTCGAGAAGACTTTGTTCTAAACTTTTCAATGTTTTTATGAAATTCACTTCGTTTGAGTTCTCTATACGTGCAAAATTTCAGATTAAAATTCAAAAATATGAGTTTTCCAATAACATGGAGTCTTACACTCTAAGAAAAAATGGATATACTACCGAACCCTATAAAATTCCATAGTAGCTACGAAACTCTTTTAAGATCGGTAGGACACAATAGGGTTCGGTATTAAAAATACGGAATCATCCAAGTTCAAGATGAAATTGTACAGGTTTTGCATCCAGCCATCAAGAATTCGTCTTGAACCTGAGTGGTTTCATATTTTTAATGCCGAACCAGATTGATGATTCCTGAAGCAGTATTCCGTGAATTTCCGACAAAAACTCGCAGGAAAAACACTGTTCCAGGCCGGAACCCGCGGAAAAATGTGAGGAATTCGATGCAGAAATCCGATGACCACATCCGGCTGCCGCGTTTGCCACGTTCCTGTCGAAACCAGTCAGTATTTCTCGACCTGGGAAACTTTTTGCGTCCCACCAATCTTAAAAAGGTTTCGTATCAAAGGTTCCGCGTGTATCTAGGATAAGAACCATTTCAGATTTCGTAGCTATTACGAAACTTAAAAAGGTTCTGTCGAGCACTGATTTTTTTTTACGGAGTATTAGATTAAAAATAAAGGTTTTGATAGTTTACACTCCGCTACTTCTTATTCGCTGAAATGCCTTTCGCTGATTCACATCTTCTCTGTCGGTTCGATGGAACAGTAGGCACTAACAATTAGTTTTTTTTGTGTGAGAATTCTTTTACTCTTCCCTTTTTTATTAATTTAGTTTATTTATTTATTTCACGACGTACCGAAGAAGACATTCTTCTTCATCGGGTTGTTGCACAAAAATTGATTTACAAATGAGTAACACATGTATCAAGATATATATATGCACAAAACTGAACTCTCTCTTTTCTTTGTCTTTTTTCTTATTTAGTTTCAATAGTGGAATAGACAACAACAAGACGGCAACACTAGAGCAGAAAAAAATATATTATCTATTTTCTTTTTTCGTCGTTCCACTGTTGAAAATAAAGAAGAAAAAAGAAAAGCGAGAGTTAAATTTTGTACATATATGTATATATATATATATCTTTATACATGTGTTAATAATTTGTAAATCCATTTTTGTGTAACAAATTGATGAAGAAGGACGTGTCCTTTGAAAAGTCGTGGAATGAATAAATAAATAAATAAGATTAATAGATAAGGAAAGAGCAAAAGAATTCTCACGCAAACATTATGTCCTTCTTAACAATCATTAAATTAGTTTTCTTGTATATCATTCTTGACATCACACAGGTAAAGTATTTTCTCGTTCAAGGTATGATATTTAATATGATGTATTCAGATATTGTATTGTGGACAGAATGACTAATTCAAAATCGACATGTATATTGAAAAGGAATAACATACAATGGTTTTTCCAAACAAGATATTCTCGCATCTGGAATTGCTCATTGTTGTTCTCTGAACAAGAATAAGCGTCAAATTGCTGATCGAGTATCACAAGTCATTTAAAAATAGATGATTTGATTTCAAATTGTGACAATGTGAAGAATTTAATAATTGGTTTCGTTTAATCATTCATTCCGACGCATCGTTTGATTTTGATAAGCTGAGTAGCCTCTGTGATGATGTTATAAAACAGTTACTAGTCTCAATTAAGGTTGTTTATTTTTCTTTTTTATATAGCTTCAATAACAGTCATTTTGTTCTGTTTCAGATAATTTTAAAGATGTACTTGATACATTTAACAGATATGGGCGACGGTAAGATACGTTCTATTAAAGTTTTTCATACAGTATTCTTCGTCAAGATGAGACTTATGCTTATCGTTCCTGTCTTAGCTTATCTTTTTCATGTTAAAAACAAGGCAACAGTATCTTGAATATTGCATCAAGTGTGAAAAGCGATGTGAAAAGCTTTTTACCATTAAATCTCGGTTTTTACCATATTGCATATAAGGCAGTCCTTAATTATCATCAAGTAGCCACTGCAACTGAATTTCTCATAAATAAATTTGATCAAATAGTTTAAATAGCTAATAGCAGATAACTTTATTAACAACAGTCGTTCAATAACGAATTTTAAAGTCGCACCTACTGTGAGCATAAACATCGCCATCTAGTAAAACTAATGATGATTACTCCGAGGGTGAGCATGATAAAAGGTCAAAGCTTGAAACAAGAGGAAAAAACCTCATGAATGCCAAAAACGTTGTTGTATTTAGACGAGAACCAACAAATATTAATGGATTCGCATTTTATTGGATGAGCGAAAAGAAACTATTTTTCTTTCACAAATCAAAATAACACAGCAATCTCTCTATAGAATGCAAGATATTTCAATTAATATTTTTTTAAAGAAAGAAA